AAAGACAAAATAAAACTAAACAATGAGCTGGGCATTGGTGGCTCACATGTGTCATTCTAGCTACAGAGAATCACAGTTTGAAGCCAGCTCAGGCAGGAAAGTCCCTGAGACTCTTATCTCCAGTGAAGCACCAAAAAGCCAGAAGTGGAGCTGGGGCTCCAGTGGTAGAGCATGCTAGCCCTAGTACACAGACAGACAGACAGACAGACAGACAGACAGACACACACACACACACACACACACACACACACACACACGATTAATCTTAAAAGCAATCACTCCCACCAAATGAAACTCTCATTCTGGCAAGTCTGTTCAGGCTCCAAAACTTTCTCTGTCTGACCAATCATCAGGGCAGTAGGCGGGGCGGGCTCTTGGAAGTTCCCATTGTCCCTTGCGCTTCTGCACATATGGCTGCCCATGACCCACTTTGCCTTTCAGCCTGCCGAAGGAGATACAAAGCATCTGGGCTGTGATGACATCACTGAGGCTCCCACCAACCGGTCCCCCAATTCCTCATGTCCGGTCTCCTTACTCTAGTGTCTCTGTGACTGGAATTCCTGACCCAACAATGGAAGGAGGAAGGATTTATTTTAGCTAAAGTTTCAGAAGGTTTGGTCCACTGTGGCTAGCTGTGTTGTTTCTCGGTCCATTAGGCAGCAGATCATGGCTGAACGATGCTATGGGAGCCGCAGGTCAGCGCAAGGTGGACAGGAGAGAAGCGGGGGGCAGGGTCCTTCCTCTACCTTTTACCACCTCCCAGAGTGCCATTCTGTTATGGATCCATTCATGCGGTCTATGCCCTCCCCATCTAATGGTTTCTGGAAATACCCCCACAGATGCACTCAGAAGTTTGGTCACTTTATTTATTTTTTAAGGGTAGTTTGTTTAGTTTGCTTTAGTTTCTTTTTTCTTTTTCTTTTGGGGGGGGAGATCTGGTCATGGGGCCTGAACTCTGGGCCTGGGCGCTGTCCCTCAGCTCTTCAGCTCGAGGCGAGCGCTCTACCACTTGAGCCACAGCGCCACTTGCAGCTTTTTTCTTTTTTCTTATGTGGTGCTTGAGGAATCGAACTCAGGACCTCATGCATGCAAGGCAAGCGCTCTACCACTGAGCCACCTTCCCAGCCCACTTTATTTGTTTTTTGCCAGTTGTGGGGTTTGAACTTAGGGTCTAGGTGCTGTCACTGAGCATTTGTGCTCAAGGCTAGTGCTCTACCACTCTGAGCCACAGAGCCACTTCTGGTTTTCTGGTGGTTCATTGGAGATAAGAGTCTCATGGACTTTGCTGCTTGGGCTGGCTTTGAACCATGATCCTCCTGAGTAGCTAGGATTAAAATACCTGGAAAAAGCTTGCTTTCTTTATTAATCTTTTGTTTTTTTTGGGTGGGTTATATGGAGATTTATTAGAGGGTTCATCTTCCCCATAGGAAAGGAGCAATATGGCCTCCCCCCTGCCCCTTCCCCCAGTGCTAGAGCTTGAACTCAGGGCTTGGGTGCTGTCCCTCAGCCTCTTTGTGCTCAAGGCTACTGCTACTTGAGCAAGAGCTTTTTCTGAGTACTTTATTGGAGATAAGAATCTCCCAGACTTTTCTGCTTTGGGTTGGCTTCAAACTGCAATCTCCAGATCTCAACCTTCTGAGTAGCTAGGATGACAGGCTTGAGCCACTGGTGCCAGGCCACTTCCAGTTTTTTTGTTGTTGTTGTTTTGGATACTTAATTGAAGACTCTCACAGACTTTCCTGCCTAGGCTGGCTTTGAACTGTCATCCTCAGATCTCAGCCTCCTGAGTAGCAAGGATTACAGGTGTGAGCCACCAGTGCCCAGAAAGCTTTCTGAATCCAGGGATTATACTTTGTATTTTAGCCCCCTTAGGGCTTGTGAACAAGGCAATAGTCTGTAAAATAATTTTGAGATTAATATTTGCACTTGCTTTTGAGACATAAAATGTAAAACGAGGGCTGGGAAAGTGGCTTAGTGGTAGAGTGCTTGCCTTGCATGCATGAGGCCTTGGGTTCGATTCCTCAGCACCACATAAGCAGAAAAAGCCAGAAGTGGCGCTATGGCTCAAATGGTAGAGCACTTGCCTAGAGCTGAAGAGGTGAGGGACAGCGCCCAGGCCCAGAGTTCAGGCCCCACGGCTGACCAAACAAAAATAAAAACAAACAACAATAAAATGTAAAACAAATCATGACTTAGGTAGTGATTGTCTTACAGTAATGCAAATATAACAAAATAGTTTAGAGGGGAAGATGAAATAACTTGTTTAGGGCATTTTATTTCTTAGTCATATCTAGTTTGTCGTTTTTTTTTTTTTTTGGTAGGTCATGGTGTTTGAAACTCAGAGCCTGGGTGCTATGCCTGAGTTTTTTCACTCTAGGCTAGCAATTAACCACTTGAGCCACATCTCCACTTCTGGCTTTTCAGTGGTTAATTGAAGATAAGTCTCATGGGCTTTCCTGTCCAGGCTGGCTTTGAACCATGATCCTCAGATCTCAGCCTCCTGAGATCTGATGGGCAATGATGGGCATGAACCACCAGCACTCAGCTAATTTGTCTTTTTTGGTAGTACTGGGATTTGAACTTTGGGGCCTTAATACTTGTTAGGCAGGTACTCTACCACTCAAGTCACATACTCAACTGTTTTCAGGTAGTCTTGAGTTTTATCAGAGGCTGGTACCCACCATACTATGCCCTCTTTGCTACCTCAAAGCCTTGGCTGGCCTTGAACCATTTATAGCTAGGGGGCTGGGAAGTTGGCTCAGTGGTAGAGCACTTGCCTTGAGCTGAAGAGCTGAGGGACAGCGCTCAGGCCCAGTGTTCAGGCCCCCTGACCCGACCAAAAACAACCAACCAACCAACCAAACAAACAAAAAAGAACCACTTATAGCTAGGATTAGAGGCGGGAACCATTGTACTGAGATCTTATGTGGTTTAACCATGTTGTTCCCTTTTGCCTCTAGCGCTTGTCTGTGCTCTCTTCTCTGATTTTAAAGGAAGTGAAGGAAAAATAAAGTGACTAGCACTGCCTGTGTTGATTTCGGCAATGACGCCACTGCAGTATGTGAGCTATTCCTGTCTCAGAGCTCCACCCCCCTTTACCAGGCCCAGTGTATGAAGCTGGTGATAAGTCTATCTCCTTCCTATCTATCTCTTTGTGCTGGGCCTAGGGCTTGAGCTCAGGGCCTGGGCACTACCCCTGAACTTTTTTGCTCAGGACAACTACTACTTGAGCCACAGCTTTCCAGTGATTAATTGGAGATGAAAGTGTCATGGACTTTCGTGCCCTGGCTGGCCTTGAACTGTGATCCTCAGATATTTGCCTCTTGAGTAGCTAGGATTATAGGCAGGAACCACCAGTGCAGGGCTTCTCCTAAAATCGGTAAGCAGATTTTATTAGTTTCTCAAAGGGATTCCTAAAGGCTAAGAAGCACTATAGCATACGTAGTACAGAGTCAGAAGTAAATGAAAAAGAAAAACTTTAGACATGTTCTGAGATCAGTAGACCAGGGATTCCTTAAAGATCACTCTTAGCCACCTGGTCCAGGTACCTCTCCTTCCTCAGGAGCAGTGTAAAAGGGGGAAAAAAACAAACAAACAGAAATTGGTGAATTTTGAGAGGTGACAGCAGAACGTTAAATTAGGCACTGGGCCTAAGCTGGAAGCCGGGGGTACCTGCCGAGGATTGCACGCCCCAGGAAGACAGTCCAGTTTCTAATACACATGACTGCACACACTATGTGCTGCCCCACGGCGGTTCCACGCATGAGGCGCCGGGCGGTCCAGATGAGTGAACCCTCCCTGGGTTCACCCTGGGCGTCCACGAGAGGTAGGGGTTCCAGCTCTCCACAGGAGGAGGAGGGGTGCAAGTGCCCAAAGAGATGGCGTGGGGCGTGAACCCAGGCTGGTGGGGCCTGGGGGGGTGGGACACCGACACCTGGATGGGAGACCAAGCAGGGCACACCGAAGCGGAGCTCTTCGTACGAATAGGAGCCCGAGCCGGGCGCAGGGGCTCAGGCCGGCCGTCGGGCCGGGCGCAGGGGCTCAGGGCGCAGGGGCTCAGGGCGCAGGGGCTCAGGCCCCCCATCCTGGCTCTACCCAGGAGGCTGAGCTCTGAGGATGGTGGTTCGAAGCCAGCCCGGGCAGCACAGTCCGGGAGCCTCTTCCCTCCAAGGAACCGGCAGAAACAAACAAAAATCAGAACACCGGAATTGGAGCTGTGGCTCAAGCGGTAGGGCGCCAGTTTTGAGCGCCCAGTCTCCTAGTTCAAGCCCCACCACCACCACCGATCCCAGGATCCCACCGATCCCAGGATCCCAGGGAAGGGGTGACATTGTCCCCAAAGAAATGTCACCTTCATAATAACAGAAAAT